TAAAGGGGGAGGGGGGGAGGGGGGAAAAGGAGGGGAGGGGGGGAGCGGGGGGAGGGGGGGAGCGGGGGTATGTGCGTTGTTGGTGAGTTAGGGGAGAAAGGGGAGAGGGGGGAAAAGACGAACCACGAGCGAGTGAAGCTGATGCCAAGGAAAGACTGCTGCGGCAGATATATAAAAAGAAAGCATAACTAGCCAGTCGGCGGTTGTGGGAAGGGGGGAGTGGGAGGGGAAACATACACATCCATACACGCTGTGCATAGGTTATAGAGGTATACATAGGTTAGGCACTACTGGTAGAGCACGCACCAATGCCCCCGGGAGATCCCGGGGTCGAGACCAGTCAAGGTCGAAAATCCTTCCGATGGTGGAGGGTAAAGTGCCCCTAGTCGATGGACGGTGGTGACCTGGTGATCTTGCGAGCCGACCACTGGATTGGAGTTGGGCCGCTGTCGACCCGGCAGATTCTGTTGGATGCTGGTGGTGGGTGCGGAACCTGAGCGATCCACTGAGAAGTTGGCTAGGGTGACTGGATGAGGGTGCCCCGAAATACCCGCGGGGAAGGCAGGGTTTCGCAGGGTTGCGGCCGCAGGGTGAAGATATATGACCCCCCTGTTCCACACACACATACACACTGCCTGCTTTCCCCCTTCCTTAACCCCCCTCCCGCCTCCCCGACCCCATCGGGCCCTGTGTTCCCCTGACTGACTGAAAGGACTCTGTCAGTGGAGTTGGCGGAGTTGCGTTCGGAGCGGGCCAGGGCACTAGAGAGTCGTACATTGGCGGGGCACTGCAAGAACGCGCTAGGGTACGCCATGTCGTTGTACTGCTTCTACAAGTGAGTGGGGGGGTGGGTTGGGTGAGAGGGGGAAAGGAGGGGGTGAAGGAGGGGAGTGGCTACAGCCGGAGCGAGTTACACACCAGCTGCAAGGCAATGACGACGACGGGGGGGAAGGAAAGGGATGGAAATGGTACGGGAAGTGCGGGAGGGGGCCGTGGAGAGATTGCAGCGAGCACGGAATTTTGGGGGGCCAAGAACGCAAGAGGGTAGGAGGGGGAAACCCTAAGTAAAACCCTTGACACCCCCCTTTCCCCCCTAAAACACACACATACATACATACACACACAGGATGTACACGAGTCTGAAGGCCCTGGTGTTCGGCGAGGACCTGGTCAGCGACACGGTGGGCTCCGCGCTGAGTTTCGGGCTGCGTTGGGTGACCCACGGGTCGGTGGTGGTGGACGTGCAGCTGCTGTCGCAGTACCTCACCCTGGTCTTCATTGGCGGTATCAGCGCGATGAGTCTGAGGGGCTTCCTCAAGAACCTGAGGAAGGTGGGGGAAGACGCGCGTGTGTGTGTGCGCGCGTGTATGTGTATGTGTGTGTGTGTGTGTGTCTTGCGTGTATGTGTGTGTATGTGTGTGTGTATGTGCGTGTGTGTGTGTGTATGTGCGTGTGTGTGTGTGTGTCTTGCGTGTTTGGAAATGTGTGAATGTGTTTTGGGGACACGTGAAACTGAAGGTTGGCAACCGAAGTCGACACATTAAACCCTAGGGGGGTGAGAGGGGGTGGGTGGGAGGGGAAAAGACGAACTACGAACGAGTGAAGCTGCTGTCAGGGCAAGAGTGTACCGGACATAGAACTGACCAAGAGGCGTTCTTGAAGGCGGCGACCTCGGGATGATGTAATGATGACGACCGCGGAAACCTACCTACCTACCTAGCCGCCAAAACTAAAATAAGAGCGGAAGAAAAGCCGTAGCAGCACGAAGCCGTAAAGGAGGGGGGCCCGGGAGGGGCCCAGGTGGGCCTTCGGTTGGTGGATGGGCTGTGATGGGGAATGCATGTATGTATGTATCTATCTATCTATGTACATCCGGCCATGTCTACACCCGCAAGCACTCTCACACACGCACTCTCTCTCGTGCCATCCTCACATATTCCCCCTCACCCCCTTCGCCCCCCTCCCAAACACACAAACGTGCACATACATACACACACACGTACGTACAGCTATTTTCCTTCGTCCGTGGCGCCGGCACCGCCAGCAGCTTGGTCCTCCTGCTGACGGAGGTCACGGGCTTCTATGCCGTATCGTCGCTGCTGCTTGTACGGAAGAATGTACCGCTGGAGTACAGGGGGGGTATGGATGCGGCCATGGGGGGGCAACTGGACTTCCAGTTCTTCCACAGGTGCGGGGGCGTGTGTGTATGGGTTGGGGGTGGGAGGGGGTGGGAGGGGGTTTCGGTATCGCGGTGCAAGGGGGACCGCGGAGAGAATGGGGGAGGGGGCGACTGTCCCTTTTTTGGCGGTGGGAGGGTGAGAGGCAAACAGCGAGGAAATTTCACAGGTTTACCAGTTTTCACGAAGACCGTAATGGCCAACGAATTAACGAACTTCCAACTAACCGACCGAAATAATCTTTTTGGCAATAATTGCGCGCAAAACCCTCCTTCCCCCGCCTCCGGCCTACTTGACACGTCACATGACGTCATCACCATCGCACCCCAGGTGGTTCAACGGACTCTTCCTCGCAAGCGCATTGCTGACGCTACTGCTGCTGTACGGACAGTACCAGGCCCACAAGTACGACCCTTTGGAGCTACTGCCAACTACTACCAACAACCACCTGTACTACAAGGGCCGTAACTCGTCACGGTGACCTGAGATGTGGACGGCACGCCCGGGGAAGAGGGGGGAAGTGGCACCCTGGTTGTGTGTACGTCTAGAGCGTGTCGTTTACGTGTTTGTTTCCGTGTGTGTGACCGATGTGTGTTTTGAACGGTGGTGAGGGTGAGGGTGGGGAGCTAAAGGGGGTGAAAGGGGGAAGGTGAGGGGACAAGGGAAGGGGTCTTCTTTGAGAGGGGGTCGGAGGTAAGACGTAAGACGAACCACTGGCGAATGAAGCTGATGTATTAGAGATATGTACGGATATAGTCCAGGGGAGGAGGGTTATGAGGGGGGCGCGTTATGGGGGGTGGCGGCGCCACCACGGCGTCAAGGAGCGGGGGTGGGGGGGAAAGGGGGAGGGCAGGAAGAGGGGAAGGAGGGGGAGGTTCCCACTCCGTTCTCCTCCCCTCCCCTCCCATCTCCCCCCGGGGGCCGCTCCAACAATAAAATGGCCAACTCGCCATCAGGCCGTGAGAATCTGGTTCAATGTTATTATTAACTTTCGATGAACACGCCACATCGCAACTTCAGGAGAGCGGAGGAAGGAGTCCTAGGGACATTGCTTGAAGCACTTTTGAACACCACCTGCTCAGTCCTTGCTCGTACATCGTTGTACATGAGTGACCTTAGCTCGTACCACATGTCGTACATGTAATTTTGGGCATTTTGACCCACCATTTATATTAAGCTATCTTTGCCATCGTCACCGCCACTGTCTCTTTTTGGAATTGACGTGTAAAACATTCCTCGTGCCGTACGTGTGCGGTCGTTTGTTAGTCCGCCACGCGGCAGATGCGAGGGGAGGGGAAAAACACGATCCGAGGTTTTCCCTTGTGCCTGTCTTTGGACGACAGCGGTTTCGTGTACGACATTACAACTTGATGCACGTACGACACAATTTCGTACAGCGCCATTGCATTTTGTATTAGTTAATGTTAATTGTATTCTTCGTCTTCATGTGCCCGCGGGAGTAAGTCGAGAGATCAGTCGTCAGTCCAGTTAGTCGGTCGAATCAATCAATCAACAATCAATCAGAGTCATCATTTGGCCAAAAAGAGTGGAAAGGGTCACGAAGGCGCTCACCACCCCGACAGTCTCGGGATGCGTTGGAGGGGGGGGGCGCCAGACGGGGGCGCTGTGTCAAACATCAAACGCAAACGTTGGAAAAAACGTATATTGAAAATGCAATGAGAGGAGAAGACAGACTATATCAAGAAAGAAGGATATAAAACGATCAAGATCAGGGGCAGACCCCGGCCTGCCAAACACACACACACGCGCGCGCGCACGTACACGGATTTCCAATAGAAAATGGCGTACGGAGCCGGTGTACGACATGAACAAGGAAAGAAAATGCTTTTCGCCGACCACATCATCAACTGCCAGTTGCTCCTCCTTGTTTTGTTTTGTAATACACCTCATTATTAGTAAAGCAACAACAGATCGCGATAAGCAAGGCAAGGCCTGTTCAAGTCCAAAGCCAAGCGCGGCTGTTGGGTACGACGGAGTACTAAAAAGAGTACGACGCGCGCGATCTGAACGCAGCATCAGCCTCAGCGTGTCACATACATACACACATAGGCACACACACACATACATACACATACACACATATAGACACACATACACACACGCGCCACAGCAAAGAAACTACTGCAGCAAACAACTGCAAGCCCTCTCTACTCTCCAGGTTTTAGAAAGCCCAGCAGTACAAGCCGCTGTACGGTGTTGAACCTCATCAGACATCCTCCAGCACAGAGACGTTTCAACACCGCCATCATCTTCATCTTCCGCTTCAGACAACCAGCTTCACCACCACGGCACGGAGACGCCTCCGAGTATCCCCCTGCTGCAGGGCCCCCCCCTCCCCCCCGCTCCCCCTCTTCCCCTCCCCCTCCCCCTCTTCCCCCCCCCCCTACAGCTTCCTTGGGGCCCCAATCTGTCTCCCGGCCGCTTGGCAGCGTCCGTCCACGCGCTCTCTCCGTCCTACCTAGGAGGAGGCTGATGCCCACGCGTGCTGGAAGGGTTGGGGTCCTCTCTCACTCACCTCTCACCTCGCCAAGCATCTCCGCAGCAGCAACCGCAACCGCAACAAACACCGCTTCAAAGCTCCAATGCCGCAACAAAAGCTTGCAAATACACATGAGCACACACACACACACACGCGTACACGTACACGTACACGTACAGACAAAGTAAATCCATATTCACATTTCTGTCCACCGCTCAGTTTCCCTCTTCCTATTATTAAACGAACACAGATGGATGGTGGCAGTGGCGGCCTACGACGTGAAGTGCAGTGCAGTGCACCTCTCACCTCCCCCTCCCCCCGCAGAGCAAATTAAACCCCACATAAACCCCCCGGGTCGGGTCGGGTCGGCTCCGGGGCCTTTCTTCCCTGGGCCAAACAAAACCCTAAAACCCCAATCCACATTCCCAGCGCCCGTTTTCCGTGTCTAACCTACTTGGTCTGCCCAATTACTACCCGCCCATTACCAAAACCACTCCCCGTCGCCTACACCTTTGTAGGAGCTGTGCGACCATTCGTGCGATGCGCGAGGGAGGAATGGAGGAGGAGGAGTGGGAGGAGTACGGCACCTTGGAAACATTTACCCCGCCTAACACCTCCACATGTACTGCCTTCCCTTCCCTTTCCTTTCTTCTTCCCACTCACCACTCACTGCTAAGCCCGTTGACTACGTTCGCTTACATTCGTATTTCCGTTCCCGTTCCGTATAAACTGGACGAGCATAGGAAATCGGTTTCTTCTGTTTTATTCTGTTTCGATCGTTTTCTGTACAAAAATATACACATAAACGCCCTTCTCACACGGTCAGTTGAGGGTTATCGGGTCGTACATCCGTACAGTGAAAAGCGTGTCGTACGGCATCCTCCCGTACGGCATCCGCAGGCGGCGGGGAAAGCGGAAGCACGGTCAGCTCAGCTCTCCCCCTTCATTCCCCCACACGCGCCCAACGAAACCCTAAAACCCTCACCGAAGCCATCCAACAGCTATCCAGACACACACACGCAGAAGACCATCAACACACGCATCGGCAATACCCGGCTCAGGTAATTGCGGCCCAAGAGGAACGAGGAAAACTCGCCGCATTGCAAAGGGGTCTCTGAGGGGGTCTTGCTGATGGCCCCAGTCCCAACCGTCTGCGTCGTCTTTAGTCAGCAAGTAAGCGCGCCGCGTAAACCGCGTTTAAAAAAAAACACGCCTCACAGCAAGACGCGGCGTGTGACGGAGGGAAAAGTGGCGTGACTCTCGAGCATTGACACGGTCAATGTTCCCTAAGGGAAATCGTTTCGTGCCAAAGGAACGAAGAAATGCGTCAAAATGTACGACGTACGATGTATGATGTACGACCCGGAGAACGCAGTTCTTTCCGTATTGCATTCCGTAAGCAAAAGTCATCTAGCCTTAATTGGGGGGGGGGTGAGAGGGGGGCGAGCACTCGCACAAGCGGTTTTCAAAACCAACCCACTCACCCCCATCACCGAAATAGTCCATCATCGAAAAGAAGAATTTTGGTAACAAACAAACTCCAACCCCCCAGCGCGTGAGGGAATATGAGTACGGCTCGTTGTACGGGGAGTACGGCTTTTCTCGTCCACACTTCCCACTCTCCAAGTCGCCCCCCAAAGTAAAAAGAAACAGCTCTTCCTTTTTCCTTTTCCTGGTTCGCCCCCTCCCTATCGCATATCCTGCATTCCCGAAATCCTGCGCGCAATCACCCTCAGCCGTAGTACGGCAGTCGTACACCTTCTTTGTACCGCCACGGGGCGAAGGCCCACGACTCAACCCTTTGTGCTGCCCCCCCCCCACCCCCGGGGGGGTAGTGGTAGCTTCCCCGAGCCCTTTTCCCCCTTACCCATTGCTCCGACGACACCAAAACGTTTATGAACCACGATCCCTACATCTCCCCCCCTTCCAATTGAATATGCTTCAAGTTATCTTGTCGTAAACGCGTTGCGTGTCAAAGTAAAATATAGATAAGACGGCAATTCAAGGGGGGATAAGGGTTATAGGGGTACGGGCGGGGAAAACGACCCCGTGTCGTACTCGCCGCGCCCCCTGAAGCCGCAGTAGTAGGTGGGGCAGAGCTGTGGTATCTCGACGTACCCGAGTGTGTGCCATTGGGCCGCACAGACAGCCAACGGCTCTGCGAAACAACAAAACAAAGTCGGTTTTTTTGGAGCTAATACAGCTTTTAGAGTTTTTTCTCTTTGAAGGAAGAAGAGCGGGAAGGGACGGTGGCCCAGTCCGTGTGTCCGCGTGTCGTATTTGAATCGTCGCCTCCGATTGATTGTCTCCAACCCAAGAGGGGACACCTCTCCCTTTCACAAGAAAGGGAGAAAACGCCGATTCGAATTCCACTCACGGGTTTGGAAATCCACTCGCCGTATTTAAACCTGCTGTGCCGCATCATCCCCATTGCCGTACCACTATCATCGACATCACCCTCATCATCACCACCCTCACCCTCACCACCACCACCACCCTTATCATCACCACCACCATCACCACCCTCCTCCTCCTCACCCTCATCATCATCATCACCCTCCTCCTCATCACCACCACCATCTCCACCTTTGGAACGTACGAGTCAGTCGAGCGTCGCAAAGGCCTCGGGACGACGACACAGGACAACGGTTTTTTCCAGAGTTAAGCAAACTACCGCCAGCTGACAACGACCACAAAGATGCAAATCGCCAGTCGTACAAACTCTCTTTATGCATGCGTGCAATGGACCCATGGGTCGTACATGCACTCAAACAACAATACACAGCCGCAGCCAACATCACGCCGGGGTTACCATGGGGTCATGGGGCCGGGGCCGGGGCGTTTTGCGCAACGCGCGCCCCAACCCCCCACAAACACACACACACACAAACACACACACACACAAACACACGCAAAGAGTACGACGCCACACAACACATATAACGCGTTTAAAAACGTGAACGCGAGCATGGTGATGCGCCTTCCCTCTTCATCATCCACTCTGCCGTACATGTAAGGGCCGCACGTATACTGTTATACGAGGAGCGGAAGTACTTCTGCTGCTACTGCAGCTGCCGCCACCGTGGGCTTCATGGCCGTTACGAGAACCCCCCCACGTGCAAACCACATCGTACGTATTGCTGTACAATGAGTGTGTAGGTAGGTAGGTAGGTAGGTAGATATGCCGTACACCGGGGCAGTACAAGCAAAAAGAAACCGCAATGTCTCAGTCGTCCGAACACTGCCGTACAGCAACACTGCCCGTACACTGCCCGTAGCAGTGGGACGGCATTTAGATCGTCGACTTCCCCTCCCATTGACCCGTCAACTGAATTCCAACACCTGGGGCAGTTGGAGAGCCCGTTGAGACCAACCAACCAACAACTTAATCCGCCTCCTCCTCTCCTTTCCCTTTCCCTTCCCCTTCCTCGTCCGCCGCTGCAGCCGCCGCCGCCGCCACCGACCCCGCCTGCTGCAGCAGGAGGTCGGCGGCGCCGCCTGGAAGGAACGTCGAAGCAGCAATCCCGCCGCCGACGCCGCCGCCGTCAGCCGCCGTCAGTGCCAGCGGCAGCGCCAGCGGCCGCCCGCCGCCAGTATAGGAATTCAACCACCAGTACTGCCCCTCCGCTGCGTCGTCGTCGTCGTCGTCGTTGCTTCTCCCGTTACCATTGGGACCGTTATCAGCACCTTCAGTCGTTGTACGCTCGTCCAGTCGTGGTACTTCAAGTACGGCCATGTCCTGCGCCGTACGTCGACGCCTGCCACTGATGGTGATGGCGTTTGAGATGTTGCATAAAAGCGCCGGCACGTTTAGTTGATCAAAGACTACCGGGTCAGATAGCCCTGGAGCAGCGAAGATTAAAGACGAGCGCTCGCACGGCAAGCTTAGAATTCTCGAAATCGTATTGGCGCGGTTAGCAGTTGCGTACGAATTGAAAAGACCCATCGCGTCAAACATGGTTCTTGTGACCATAATGACTTTGGCGCCGGTCGTTGGAGGGTTGTTGAGTTGACACGTAGGGCCTGAAGTGGGCGTTACGCCAGCGGGAATTGCAAGCGTCGCGAGTGTGATCAATGCCGTACAATGGCTGACCGTCAGCGGCGTGGTCATGAGCGTGTCGACACTGAGTACGACAGACCGCTCGACAACCGAATCGGTTACAACGGCGGTCGATGGCGACGGGGAGGGCGTGGGCGCCGACTGCTGCAGCGCCCGGCGGCCGGTAGTTGTGCTGGTAGTTGTGGTAGTTGAGCATTGAAGCGCGGGAACATTGCGCTGGTCAAAGACACGGGGTTCGGTCAAACCTGGCGCCGCAAAAATGACTGATGAGCGGTTGCATGGCAACGCTAAAATTCGTACAATCGTATCAGCACGCGTACTTGTAGCGTACGCGTCGTAAAATAACAGAGCTTGAGCTGAGGAAGCAAGTACGATTATAATCTTAGCGCCGGTGGTTGGCGGGTCGTTGAGCTGGCAGTTGGGTCCTGACGTCACGTTGACGCCAGGCGGTCTGGACTGATCCGTAATAACTACCAGTGCCGTACAGTGGGCATTGGTCAACGCCCTCGTCAACAGCGTGTCGACGCTCATAATGACGGTACGATTGCTGACGGTGACA